CGCCACGCTAGACGGCGGAAATTATATATTTAATTATAACAAAGTTACAATAAGTTAATATATAATTATATATACAGTACCTAATTTATATATAATTAATATATAATTATATGTACAGTACCTAATTTATATATAATTTATATAATACTGTCCAGACGATAGAAATCTCTCCGTAGTTGGCGCTACGGATGGCGGGAAAGTAGTTCGGTTGCCCGATGATGTTTGAGGTAATTATAGGGGGTTTTTTACGGATACCAGTCACAATTTTTTCGTAGTTTTATAGGAATCGTAATTATAGGGACTGTAATTATAGGGGGGTCGACTGTATATTGATTATTGACCATTTGTGACATGCTATAAATGAGCAAAAATTTAAAAAAAACTAATAGGTAGGTTTAAAATTAATAAATACAAATGTATTCTGACAGTGAATGAGTTAATTATGCTTTCTATTTGCAAAATTCCTCAACCTTAACACAAAATAAGAAAAAAAGGAATTTTTAAGAAATTTGCGGGATTTCCTGGGATAAGAAAAATTTCCCGGGATATTTCCCGGGTTAAAAAAACAACTGGGATCCCGGAATCCCAATTGAGAAACCCTACTCATGATTATGAAACTGGCATGCCGCCACCAAGCCACTGGGTACTCTGCAAATGTTGGGAATTCCAAACATTTTAAGTGAGATTTTTGTAATTTTCAACCTCAATTTTCTCCTTTAATTTTGAGTATTGTGCCTTACTGCTTGGCATGTGTCAGTCATTGGGGAAACAGTATAAGTTTGATCAAAACCAGTTACCTGAACATCATACTGTTCCTTCATAAGATGAACCAAGTAAAGGTGTTTTTCTGTTTAATAAATTTTGTTAAATAATTTTTTATAAGTTATATAAATATCTTATCACTAATTTTGCTTTAGATTTTGAATGAAATATTCAAACTTTATGAATTTAAAACAAAATTTATATTATAAAAGTCTTGCAAAGCATAAATCATCTTAACCTTTTTTGTTTAAACTTCTATAAAAATGAAACAAAAGGGCACTGTTTCAACTATATTTATAAAAAAGCAAAAGTAGATATTTCTGCCCAAGAAAACATTTTTTTTACAGAATCATATTTATAGTAGTATTTAGTTTTAGCACTTTTATTTATTCTTAAATTACTGTATTTGTGCCTTTCAGTCTAAATTATCTAAAACTAGCTGAGCCCAGTGTTGCTCAGGAAAAAATAACAGCAAAGATTAAGGTTATTAGACATAAGAGATAATCACACCAAGTGCCCAATCTTGCACATTCTAAAA